TTGCCTCCTTATCTTGCATTGTAACCCACTTAAGTGTAGATCCATTACGCTTCTTTCAAGACGGGGGAGGAGGTAAGTCCCTCAAATAATTATGGGTGCCTTCCCCTTATGATGCACCTCCTCTTGGTTGTGAGGCTTAGACTCAGACTTAGGTTCACTCGGGCTAGCCAGAGAAGGACAAGTTGATTAAGCTATGGCAAGAAGATCGATGAAAGAAGGAGCGGCTGATTGAGGGGTGGTAGATGTTTCTTTTTCTCTCCATCAAATACCTTCCTTTGCTCCAGCTTGACTCTTCCATGCTCTATGTCCTCTCAGCCTCTTGGTGTTGTGTGCATGAAAGACTTACAACTAACAGAGAACTTTTAATGGGCGTCATAGCACTTTTCCTCTCAATAAAGATTAGCTTGCCAATGGCTATCCTTCAAAAAATAATGAAAGAATCAAATATAGAATAAACTATTTATAATTCCATATCTTCCTCAACACGAGTCACTAGAGATTTTTGTCGGCCCTACACTCCAACAGTTTTGGGGCAAGCAGATTTAGCACGATCGATTGGACGGGCCTTCTTCTTTGTTGTCAGGAAGCAAACATTGCCTTTTGTTCTTCCTTTTGAGTATCAGAGGCAACTCAATCCTCTTGTTTCATTCATTCGAAAGCATTTGATTATAACACCCACTTGACATTTACCAAATCAAGGCATTGGTGGATCGAAAGTTGACACCCTTCAACCTCCCTAGCTTCAACCAATACTGAATTCGACACTTTCTTCTTTATTTTGGCAGGAGCAATGCTAGAAAAAATGGTCTAAACGTACAACTGTAAGGGAGGAGAACCAAAGTAAACAAAGTTTCTAGCCCTTCACATTATTTTCTAGCCCTAACAACTAAAACTTGCCAACATAGGCAAACTGAACATAGCCATCCGTGCTTACCAGGAACACAAATACATAGATACAGAGCTCCATTAACTAACAACAAAAAATTATGATGTTCATGATTGCGGCTATGTAATATGACAGTATTTAGGCCAAAATAACTCCATAATGATTAAAGATGGCATGCAACTTCTGATAGAATGACAATATCAAACCAAACAAGAACTGAAATTTTTAGAAAATGAGGTTGGCACTAAACATAGTAGTTGCTTGCTTTTTCACGTCAATGACACAAAGCATCACGGTGGGATAGAAGACACAGACCTCTTGCAACTGCTCCACTTCCCCCTGAGTCATCAACGATTGATCATTTGAGACAACCGACGAAATGCATTTGAGAATACTTTGGAGCCATAAGGCTGAGTGCAAAAGAAAAAATCTAAAGTAAAGAATAAGTGTTAAGAAAAAAAGACAGTAAAAGTGTAGCATCATCAAACCACTCACCCGTAGATACATGGGTAAACAGAAGAAGCAAAGCTATCACATAGGGGAAAAAATGAAACTATAAAATAATTTTGAGAATGAACTGATAGAAGGATCACATCAACATAGGAATCGAGACAAAAGAATAAATGTTATTCCAAAAATAGACATTACAAATTACAAAAAAAGCTCAGGAGCTAGCCTAAGAGGAAATATTTTATAAGGAGTTCATCTGCCACTTTGCCAAGCCATCACCCACTGAAGTAGCCTCTTACACAAAACTTCTTTCCCAAACTTAAACTGGTTCACCTAATCCGTCTCAACTTAAGCCTAGAGTATGAAGGATCTCTCTTGGATGGCCAACAACTCCCGACGAAGACTAGTTATCTCCTCATCCATCCTCTCTACTTTCTCCACATGAGCAAACAACTCGCATATCTTCTCACCTAGATAAATAAACAACTAACTGAGCAAAGTTGTTCTTTATCTCATTCAGGCGACAAGCCAACAACCCAGAGGATATGAGACATTCATTAATTACTTTTTTTGGGTCTCGAAAGGACTTCCTTGGCAATCAATCCCACCATCCTTGCTCAAGATTTGCCTACCCTTGGTTGGTGTTTGGGCAATAGCTGCTGTCACCGTGGTCAGGTTCCCACCAACGTTTATTAGTGGTGAGTCATCGATTGAGACTATCAAAATCGGGTGGTCAGTTGCACTATGAGAAAACATTAAAAAAAGACCGTTAAAAAATCAAAATCAAACAAACAAGATTTATGATCCTCAGATCAAGGATTTAGTCCTACTTAGACAATGTAAGGGACAAGGTGCTCTCACCAGGAAGTGGCAAAGCACCAACATCTTCTTGCACCCCGGGAAACAATAGAGCCCCACCAACTTCTTTCTGCAGTCTGCTTGGCTAATGAGTCCCATGTCGCAGCAAAAGGTTGAGCTAATGGATCAATGCATTATACAATCACCTAAGCAATCCTCTATCTGGGGTTTAGGAAAAAAATTGATGTACCCACCGGATCAGCCAGTGCAACCGCTTTTCTTTTCTTAAAAATGATTTTCTTCTTTTTTCACCTTTCGGGCGGCACCACTCCTTCAGTCTCCTAAAGGCAACATGAAGTAGATCATTGTTAAGGATATCAATCAGGGATTTGACATGTTCTTCATTACAACACTCGGAGACTGGCTGATTTAAACGAGAAGGAACACAAATCAAATATGGAATGTAAAAAGTCTTGTCAGTCCTTATTTATAAGGGCCAGAGGTGAGAAAATCAAGAAACTTAATTATTGAATTAGTAATAAAAAATAAATGTGATATACATTTTACGTAAATTTCACATATTCTTATCACAACATCGCTTTTAAGAAATAAGAGAATTGAGAAAAAAATTATGCTCATAAAAAAATGTAGTGCAGATCCTGAGGAGATCTAATAATCATAGGAGAATGGTAGGACCAGGGAGGGCTCACTAATAGAAGAATGTGAGACCCACTTATTCGACCGAACATAGTCACTCGGGATAAATACAACGAGACAAAGCTGACTGAGCCTTGACGAGAACAAAAAGATAACCAAATGATCCAAGCACGAACAGTTCGATAAGAAATGAGAGAAAGAGACATCCGAATCAACCACAATGAAGAAGCTGACGTGGGAGAAGACCTAATCCCTCAACATCTCCAATTATACTGGGGATGTTTGGAAGTCTCCTCACATGTTATTAAAGGTCGACAACCAAAATAGATTAGCTGACCAACACCACTAAACAAGCCTAGTCTACTGAACCAGTCATGTCTACCCGATGTCAATCAAGCTCAGTTGACCGAGCAGAAGAGTAGCTGAACGATAGACTCATACATGTAAAATATCAAGAATACCCCATGCATCCCCTTTAAACCAGGAGCAAAAATGTAATATCATGTTATTGTAATCTATCCTCTATAAATAGAAAGAGCATTTTATGAATAAATACATATAAATTACTGTTCATGACACAAATCAAATATGGAATGTAAAAGTCTTTTCACTCCTTATTTATAAGGGCCAGAGGTGAGAAAATAAAAAAAACTTAATTATTGAAATAGTAATTAAAAATAAATGCGATATACATTTTACATTAAATTCACATTATTATCGCAACATCGCTTTTAAGAAATAAGAGAATTGAGAAAAAAATTATGCTCATAAAAAAATGTAGTGCAGATCCTGAGGAGATCTAATAATCATAGGAGAATGGTAGGACCAGGGAGGGCTCACTAATAGAAGAATGTGAGACCCACTTATTCGACCGAACATAGTCACTCGGGATAAATACAACGAGACAAAGCTGACTGAGCCTTGACGAGAACAAAAAGATAACCAAATGATCCAAGCACGAACAGTTCGATAAGAAATGAGAGAAAGAGACATCCGAATCAACCACAATGAAGAAGCTGACGTGGGAGAAGACCTAATCCCTCAACATCTCCAATTATAATGGGGATGTTTGGAAGTCTCCTAACATGTTATCAAGGGTCGACAGCCAAAATAGATTAGCTGACCAACAACACTAAAAAATCATAGCCAACTTAACCAGTCATGTCTACTCGATGTTAATCAAGCTCAGTTGACCGAGCAGAAGAGTAGCTAAACAGTAGACTCATACATGTAAAATATCAAGAATACCCCATGCACCCCCTTTAAATTAGGAGCAAAAATGTAACAGCATGTTATTGTAATCTATCATATATAAATAGAAAGACCATTTTATGAATAAATACATATAAATTACTGTTCATTATTGTTCCCTCTTCTCTTTATCTCTCTTTCTCTCTTTACTTATGCTTAATTCTTTAGGCGTGTTTCACAAACAAATCAGGATTTAACATGAGAAAAAAATTCTCTTAAAATACATATTTGCATTTGGTATAAATTAGTCTAGCCAAATTCAAGTCTTAATGATTCAAACTTTGTTGTTCTACCAAAACATGCTGCCAGAATTCATGCTGAAACTTTAGTCAAGTCTATTGAATGAGCTATACTTTAATTTGAGAGAAAATTGGGGCATGTGCTTATTGGAGAAATCATCGATGAGATTGACAAATGGACTTTAAGAAGAATCAAGGAGACAAAGTTATGGTGGGAGCTTTTTCCAAAATGATAATGTGACTAGGGTTAATCAAATAAGTGTTCAAGAATTATGAATTTTAATAGAGAAGAGAAATGATAATGTGACTAGGGTTAATCAAATAAAACTTAAGTGTTCAAGAATTATGAATTTTAATAGAGAAGAAAGGATTTGTTATACAAATATATTAATGAATGGCACTCACATGTCCAAAATAACCAAATGAATAATTGGATAACTCCCTCTAACTTTAGATATAACACTCTTATCTATTATTAATGAACATTCAACCACCACAGATAAGATTTCTTAATTCTTAAAGATTATTTAAGAGCTTTTATATTTGCATATATAATACTTAAATTTTCGACATCATATTAAAAAATATTATTGTAACTAAATTTTAAAAGATGAAATATTAAGATTTTTAATAAAATGTGCAATAAATATAAAAATGCATAACAAGTTTGCCAAAAACAAAAACTCTTAAATAAAATAATATATCCTTGGGAGAAGGTTCTTAGGAAGTGAGTAGTGATGGAGCCATGGAGGGACACGGTAGAAAACCGAGAATGGAAGCGGTCCAACGACGCCACATTCTGAATCTTATTTCCTCCTGGCTCTCGTTCCCTGGTCAGAAACTCTGAATCGGAAGCGATGGCAATCGGAGAGGGGAGCCGGGCTCCGGCGGCCTTTGAGGCTGCTCAAAGGGCGGTGGCGGCGATTGGGTGTGGCTACGACATCGCCATCGCCGCCGATGTGCGGCTCACTCGCTGCAAGTCAGGACGCTTGATTGAGCTCGATGGGGCCACCGTAGAAGACACGGTTGTGCCTGGGGGTGTCGTTCTGCGCGGCGTTCCGAAGTCTATCCGCTGCGATAAGGGGGAGAGGACGCGGTTCCACTCCGAAGTGCTATCATTTCACCAGGTTTTGTCTCGAGATCCGTCTTTTTTCGGTTAGGGTTTTGTTAGGTTAAATTGGAGGCTTGTTTATTTTAGCGTAGAGGATCATTTGCACTTTGTTGCGTTAGTTTTTAGTTAAAAGGTTCTTCTAGTTAGAGTTTGGTAGTATTATGGATTCGATGATGTTTAGGAGTGAGGATGTTGTTGATTCTTTATTCAGCTGTTTAGGCAGCGCTTAGTATCATTTGGAATATGTTTAAACATTCGGAAGATCTTTGTGATTGTAAATTCCATGGAAGATTTGCATAGATATCCTCAATAGACTGTTATTGGTGATAGACAAGCTTTTCTTCACCAAATAAAAACCTAATATATAGATTTAAGGCGTTCCCTACAAAAGAAGTTCAAGTCCACATGAGTTGAAAACAAACTCATCCAAAAGTGCAAGCATGACTAGCTTCTTGCTCTATCATTTTGATGATAATTTTCTTGCTTAATTTTAGCTCGATTTAAATTTCATGTAATTTATAAATAGACTGCTAATGCTTGAATGATGTACCTTTGGCTTGTTTGTTGAAATTGAACTATTGCCATTTCATGTATCCAATTTGCTCGCCAAACATTTGAAGGGATCTTTTGGCAAGCTTTTCCTCACAAATAATCTTAAAATTCTGAGCCCTCACTCCATCTCCACCTTTGCAAAATAATTTTGAATAAAAGCAATCTTATATTTGATTTTCATCTCCACAACAAAATCTAATTCTTCTTTGCTACCTCAACAAACTTTCAATAAGTCTTCCCCACATTATCAATCCCTAAATAAATATCCCACTTTTCGGCCAAGTCCATCCCACTTAGGTGTGTAAACAAGTCAATTCGAGCTTAAGCATCCCTGTGCTTGTACTTAAACTCGAGCTTAATTCTATCAGTTTGAACTGGGTTGTTTATTTTGAAAGAGAAAATAATATTAATCCAAACTAGTTCTATGATAAAGTGACAAATAAAATGAGCAATAAGGAGATAAAATAATAAGAAATTACTTGCAATAAAATATAAAATATATATTTTTTAGCTTTTCTAAGAATTTAAAAATAAAATATTGATTTTTTATCTTTTTTTCACTATATTTTATATTATTTTTTTTAAGCGAGCATACTCACATACTGACAAATTGAGTTGGAGTTGTCTTTTGCTTAGCTTGTTAGCTCATCGAGCTCAACTCATGAGCCACTTATTGCACCGAACCCAATCCGGCTCACGAGCCTGCTCCTCTCAATTACATCCCCAATTCCCACCCTAAATCCATAAGTAATTACCCATCCAAGGCCACCGCTCAACTTCCACAAGAAACTTGTCCATACCTAAACCTAGCCATATCCTCACCTTTTCTAAAAGTTGCCTACAAGCCTCTCATATCTTTAGAAGCAAGAGCAAGTTATTCTTCTGCAAATATGCATCAACACTTTATCAAATTTTATCAAAGTGTAGAGCTTAAGGGTGAAGTTAACATCCAAGGCTACATTAATTTAGGCTTCAAAAATAGAATTTAACAAGTGGTGATTTGATATCCACTTGTGGGCAATCTGTGCTTCCCTTATCCTTATCAAAATATTTATTTTTGGAAATTCGTCTTTGCATAGAGATCTAAGATTTGATCATGTCACTTAGCAAGTCTAAGAAATAATGCACAACCTCTTAGTAGTTTGCGCAATATTAAGCCAAAGTCTAAACTAGTCTTAGTAGTTTCCACACAATTTTATGTATTTACATATCTAACACCTATACTTTTATATTTTAATTTCTTACGTTTTGGTATGACAAGCCTATGCATGAAAAGGTGTATCACACTTTTAAAAAGTAAGTGATAGTTGTATTTTTGATGTGATATCAAAGATTTGAGTGCTATGCATGTAAATGTTAAAAGTTTGAGTGTTAGATATATAACTACATGAGAATTGTATGGTGTGTATGTAAATGCCCCTAAAACATTTCCAACCCATTGATACTTAAGAGTCACATGTATGTTGGTGTGTTTGTTAGGACAAGGTTCATTGATTCCTCTTTAACCATGTTTGGCGTGCCTGTTCAAGTGTGTACCTAAGTTGATTGCATCATTCAAGGCATGGATTAAGGTTTCTATAACAAAGAAGGTTCAAATTCACATGGAATAATCAAGTTGAAACAAACTAATACAAAAGTCAAGCATGCTCGACTGCTAGCTCTCTACTTTTTGATTTTAGTATTTTTCAAGCTTATTTTTAACTTGATTGAAATTACATTTAATCTATTAATACACCTCTATTGCTCTAATGAAGGAACTTTTGGCCTTATTATTAAAATTAAACTAGTGGTTGTTCATATGTAAAACATGGTGTCTGTTTGTGAGATTTTCTTTTACTATACTACTAAAAAAATAGAAATTAAAATCTGAAACCCTCCCAAATTTTCTCTCTGCAGCGTCTTATTCCTCCTCACTACCTCTACAAGCCTTCAATAAGTTATTTTTCTCATTATCAATTCCTAGATCAACATCTCACATCCCAAGCCAATCGCATATCCTATTCAAGCACAACTAATTTCTTTTCAACTACAAACCTTTCCAAACCTAACCCTAGCCGTATTCCCACTTCTTCTAAATTGTGCCCACAAACCTCTCATGTCTTTAGGGGCCGTTTGGGTTCACATTTGTTTATTTTTATTTTTATTTTTTATGTTTTGATTAAAATTAAAATATGTTTGTTATTGTCGTTTTTAGAACACTCAAAATATCGTTTAGGTGTTTTGAGTGTTTCTACTATACGAACCAAATATGTTTCCAAAACAAGATAAAAAATAAATAAATAACAAAACAAAGAACAAAAGTGATTCCAAACGGGGCACATAGAGGCAAGAACAAGCCATTATTGCTAAATTTCACCACTGCTCCATCAAATTTAGGACTTTTTTAAAATGTGTTGGTAAAATAAGTGGTTTATATTGTTTGGTAATGTGTGGGAATAACTATAAGTTGAAAGTGTCGAACGAGAAAACTCTTTCCTGCTCAAGTCATTGTTTAAATTTTCCTTTCATATTATTGTCATAGATTGTAGGGTTACTACAAATAGTATTTTTTAATGATTATTGATCATATTTTGAATTCAACCAATTTAACTTCATTTACTGTCGAGGGAATCAATATACACCACAATGCATTTGCTCTTAGCAAAGTAGAGCCTATATTTCCTTAAAGGGGCATTTACATATATACCATCAAATTCTTATGTATTTACATATATAGCACCAATACTTTGCTTTTTACATTAATGCACCCAAATCTTTCATGTCATATCAGAAATACCCCATTCAAACTTCTAAAAAATGAAATACACCTTTTCATGCATAGAAATGGTGGTATGTATTTAAAAATTGAAGTTTAGGTGTAAGACATGTAAATGCATAAGAATTGAGCGATATGCATGTAAATCTTCCTTCAATGCTCAGGATTTTTCACAATGTTAGCTGAGTTGATTATTGTCACTTTAGTAAGTTTTCTGCTCCATTACTATATCTATTATATTATTTGTATCTAATATTTCTTTCCAATATAATGGAAGTAAAATACACTCTGATTAAAATTCTAAATCATTATTTTTCTAGTAGATGTCAGAGCAATTCAACCAGGAGATGTCTTTGTCTGGTAAAATTCCTTCTGGCTTGTTCAATGCTATGTTTGATTATCGGGGCTGCTGGAAAAAGGATGCATCGTCAACAAAATGGCTCTGTTTTGATGGTTGGTTCATAACTCTCTATAGTATCGAGTTGGAAAGATCGAATTTAATGTTGCTTGAACGAGTGAAAAATGATGTTCCGACTTCCTGGGATCCTGCTGCATTGGCAGAGTAAATTCTCAACTGAGCACGCTTTTAAGATCATATTTTTGCTAGTTGGAAGTTGCATTCAATATTTATTTACTTGGATTGCTTCATGAAAATTATTTGTGTGACTTAAATTCTATTAAATTTTCAACAAGCTTTTCATATTTCATTTTTTTGTGACATGGGAATTTGGATTCAGAAGTCTTTTGGAGCTTGTAGGTTAATGAGGCTTCATGTAAACTTTTAGGGTTTTATGAGAGCATTGGATTTTTTGTAAGATATCAAGAGTTCGAGACCAGTTTTTCATGAAGACTTGGGTCTATTTGACATCATTTTTTTTTATTTTTAAAGTTTTTGCTTTTATTTTTAAAAACAGTTGAATGAGAGAATTTGTAAAATTTTTGCTTTTATTTTTAAAAACAGTTGAATGAGAGAATAAAACATGTTTTATAGTTTTATTTATTGTTTGATTAACTCGTCAAATCATTTTTATGAATGCTCCAAACAACTTTGAGATTTTTTTAAATTATTTTCAGAATACTTTCTTGTCCCATTTTGTCACCAAGCTTTTAATTTTAATTATTTTAAAAAAATTAGTCCCAAATAGCTCCTTAGGGTTTTCCAATAAAAATATCTTTATGTATGCTTGTAAGATTAAGGGTTTCTTGAAGAACTAGGGCTTAAACAGGAAGCATTCAAGAAACCATGAAGCTGTATAATGAAGAACAAGTTAAGATTTTTATCAATTAATGGAGTGATCAAAACCTTAAATTTTTTCCCATGCAAGCCTTGTCTTGTTAGATTGGAGACAATAAATTGATGGATGCTTATTAAACCTAAACTGAGCCTTCTCAAGGAATTGAGCCAAGGAAATGTGGGAGCTGTGTGATGGGTCTGGCAATGCGTGAATCTCTAATTAGAGAGAGAGAGCACAAAATAACAACGTTAGAGTGAGAGTGCAAGAGAGTTTCTTGTTGCGAGAATAGTTGGGGATAGAAGGTCTGGACTAAGCAAGGGAATAAAAACATTCTTATTAGGTTTAGTTCGCAAACACATCTTACTTGCATCTTAAATAAGATAATTAATCAGAACCCAATGAAAATAATTCAAAATAATCCATAAATTAAGGTTGGAAAGAAAAACTAATAGGATGTTGCTACAATTTTGGTGAAAGTGCTTGTGATCTTCTAGAAGGTTTTAGAAGTTTCTTCTAGATTGTTCTATTACTTTTTTGAACTTTAATAATTCTTTCATTCAATGCATAGTCAAATCATAATTTGAATTATATAAAGTGGTCTAATCTTAGTTAGGTTGGTAATGCATACTCTAATTTTTGTTAACGTAAAGTTTAGCCCTGATGAAAAAAAAAAAAACAAAACTAACTCTTTTTTTTTTAATCTTGAGAAAACTTATTATTGGTCATGATAATTGACTCGGTACGCCTTAAAAAATATTTATTAAAGTTAAGGATAGATATAATGAGACCTTTTATAATGTTAGAAATGATTGTGGAGTGATGAAAGATTTCTTAAAAATAATATAGTTCAGTAAAGGATCAGCATTGTATCCATATGCATTTTTATTGATCTTGGAGATGCTCATACATGATATTTAAAATAATATGGTTTAACCTTGATGTCTGTTATTTGAAAAACGCTTTGTTTTACTAGATATGATTTCTACTAAGATAAATGAAAAATTAGAACGATGGAAGAAATATGTGGATGATAAGCAGCTTATGATTATTAGAATAAAGATTGAGTTGCAAAACTTATGAGTATTTGCTTTTAATTTTTGAAGATAAAGTGGTATGAAGATGTAATAAGCTCTACATAATTTTGATCTACCATAATAAAAAAAATAGGACACAGTTGAATTAATTTTTATGGTTAAAGGTTAGTTATCATGGATGTGTTGATCACTAATTGCAGAGAAAGATAGAGAGGAATAACACAATAATAATACGAGAGAGAGTGTCTATGAGAATGGCAGGAGAGAGAACGTATCAAACTAATACTAGTTAAGACAGATGCTGCTACAATTTTGCTGAAAGTGCTTGTGATTTTCTGTAAGGGTTTAGAAATTTCTTCTATCTTGTTCTATTACTTAGAACTTTAATTATTCTTTCATTCATTGCAAAATCAAATTATTACCTGCTTGAAATAAAGAGTTAGGTTTAATCAGACTTAAATTAGGAATGCTAACCATAGTTTAAATTTATATGAAGTTTAGCCTTGAACGAAATAAATACAAAACCAACTTTTTTATTTAAATTTTTAGAAAGCTAATTATTGGCATGATTATTGACTTGATATGCATTAAAAAAAAAATCTTCCTTGAAGTTGTTAAAGATAGATATGAAGTGACCTTACATAGCATTAGGAGTGATTGTTGAGTGATGAAAGGTTTCTAAAAATAATAGTTTGATTAAAGATCAACATGATGTCCATGTGTTTTTTATTGATTATGAAGATGCTTATAAAGGACATTCAAAATAATATGAGTTGGCCTAGATTTATGATTATTAGAATAAAGCTTGAGCTACCCAAATTTATAATTATCAATTATAATTATTTTGAGATGAAGTGATATGAAGATTTAATGTGCTTCAAGTATATTTTGATCAGGTAATATCAAATAATGAGTTTATAGTTTGTTTAACCATTAGTTTGTTTAACTTTTATGGTTAAATGTTAGTTAAGATGTAAAATACCGGAATTTGATGTGATAGGAGAATATCATGAAGACATAACAAATAAAATTTATAAAACTACAATTATATCCACATTGCCATTCAAATTTGAGTATTTGTTAGTTAATAAATTACTGATAAACATCTTCAATTTGGTCAAAATGAGAATATTAACTTGGATTTCTGGTAAAACTACAAATACCCTAAACATATTTGCATTAAACGGAGACAATACCTGAAATATTAATCTACAGAAATACAATACGGTTAGGAGGAATAATTATGATGATGATGATGAAAATATAGTTTCAATTTTCTGAAAACTTAATTTGTTAGCAAAAGATGCATGTTATAACGTGTAACATAGTTTTGTGATGCATTTATAGTCCATTTACCTGAAGTTCAAATTAAACAATAATCCACATTCTAGTTGTACTGATATGAACATGTTTATTTATGTTTTTTGTGTTTGCATATTTTGTTAATTAATTATTGTGCTAAATCTTTCAAGGACATGTTCTTCAAGCTTATGACATGAATATGCACTAAATAGACAAGCACAATCTTTCATAAAGCTTAGTATTATAAAATAATTTTAATTATTAGATTAAATTTAATTGAGCATATAAAATATTTTGTAGTTATCCTTATGTAGATTATTACTCCATGCAATTTTTTGGTAGCACAGGAGTACGTGTTTTTTATTTACACTTATTACGTACATAAATTAACTTGAATTGTTTAGGGTTTGAACAAGCACAAGTTCATTTGAAACCAAGGCTAGGTTTTTCATGTTTGGTTGGATATCAAATAAAGCTGAAATAGAGCTGGCTTTATTTCACTCAAGTTTGACACGTGGACAAATTGAACAAAACATAAATTCTGAGAGAAGAAATTTTCTATTTCTTTCTAGATTAGATTTTTTTAGCTAAACCACATCTGATATTTAGAGCGGAACCACATTTGATATTTAGAGCAGACTAAAGATGGAATATACAAAATTTTATTTTTCACATTTATACTGCCCAAATCTTTCATATCACATAAAAAAATACCGCCATTTTAAATTTTAAAAGTGAAATATATCATTTCATCCGTAGGGTATGTATGTGAAAATTGAAGTTTAGGGGTTAGATATGTAAATATATGGGAACTGAATGGTATGTATCTAACTATTCCAAAAAGAAAAAAAAAAAGTACAACCCAAATTGCCGCCCATCGATGACAATAACTGGAACCAACCAATGCAGAAGTTGGCAATAGCTGTAGGTGGTAATCCAACCTATATGATTTCAGCAACAGGGCAAGTAGGGAAACTTCTAGCTGTGCTTAGGACAATGGTGATAATTTGAAGACAATTGTAGCAATTTGAGTTCTAGCGTAGTTCTAGGAGAAGGAAAGACCGGCCTTTAGAATTAACGGAATTTACATACATTACACACAATTCTTTTGTATTTACATATCTACATATCTAACACCTTTTTGTATTTACATATCTAACACCTAAACTTTCATATTTACATTTATAACAATTTGGTGTTATAAACATATGCATAAAAAGATGTATTACACTTTTCAAAAGTAAGTAATAGTGATATTTTTGATGTTATGTTAAAGAATTAGAGGCTATGTTTGTTAATATAGAAGTTTAGGTGTTAGATATGTAAATACATAAGAACTGTGCGTTATGGAAGTAAATACCCCTAGAATTAAATATTCTCCACATTCCCAACAATTATGATGGATGAAAATGAGAGAGCTTCTCTCAGCTATTGGTTGAGGTGTTTGCTGCCCTTAGTAGGAATGATAAACAGCAAATAGATTGAAAACCATATTTGTCTATTTTAAAATGCAGTTTTTGTTATGTTATTGTAGCATTGAGACAATAATTTACTTGAATAAAGATGCATTTAATAATTCCAAAATTTTGTTATTTTGTCTTTGTTTGTAGGTTTATTGATAAATATGGCACTCATATTATTTTTGGGGTAAAGATGGGCGGCAAGGATGTAATTCATATTAAGCAGCTGGAGGAGTCTGTTCTTCAACAAAATGAAGTGCAAAATTTATTGAAGAAGTTAGCTGATGAGAAATTTGCTGAAGAGTCCCATATAAGTGACGAATTATCAAGCAGAAAAGAGGTATGCTTTACACATTTAGATTGAATTTAGAGTTTAACAGAAAATATAATTGAGCTATAACTCGCACATGATCAAATTTATACACTAGATAGCAACTTAACCTGGCATTCGCTGCACTCTTTCATGCATCATGCTTGACATTATTCCTTAGATATTTTATGGTAGAATTCAATTGAAAAAAAATTGGATGCCTCAGTTTTTTTTAAAAAATATGATTTGTTGACCAAACATGTTCTGATTTTTTAAGAAATTAAATTTCCTTAGTCAAAGATGTTTGTCTTGTTTTTAATATTAATAGAATGATACAGTATCAATTATTTAAATTATAACATGTACATTGATGATAAATAAAAAAATGTTGCTTTTCCTTAATTAGGGGTATTTGAGTGAAGGTGAGTTATGTTCCATAATAAAATTTAGGGGCATTTGCATACAGACCACACAATTCATATATATTTCATAGTAGCACCTAAACTTTATATTTACATGCATAACACTCAAATCTTTCACATTACATAAAAAAAATACCACTCTTGCTTACTTTTTGAAAGTGAAGTACAGATTTTCATCTATAGTTCTATAACACCTAAGTTTATGAATTTAGATATCTTGACGAATGCCATGCAAAAAGTTGTATCTGAGTATTGTTACATGAACCTACTGTTCAATGTAGCTGGTTGATCCTTGGTTAAGCCAATTTAATAGGTTTGCTCAAACCTAATCTGGCCATTGTGTCTGGTCCGGTTGAGTTGGTTCAAAATTGCTTATTTCTAGAAATCAAGTTGTCCCTATTCTTTTTTTTTAAGCTTTTCAGGATCCTATTAATTAAATTCAAGGTTAATAATGTAATCCATTAGCTTGATTCGATGACCGAAGTGTGAATGACTGAGAGACTTAGTTTTTTTATCTACAAGCCTGATAAAACATAGGGGCATTTACATACATACCCCCAAATTCCAATATTTTGACATATCTAACGTCTAAACTTTACCTTTTACATTACTACCACTCAAATCTTTCATATCACATAAAAAAATACCACTATTTTAATTTTTAAAAAGTGAAATGCACTTTTTCATGTATAGGTAAGGCACTTATGTTAAAATTGAATTTTAGGTGTAAGATGTGTAAGACCATATGGAATTGAGTTGTTTGTATGTAAATCTTCATTAAATATATAAATAATGAGCACTTAACTTCTTCACGAGAGAAATTAGCTCATAAAATAGAATACAGATGGTTAGTCTACTAAGTATAATATTTGTACTTATCAAAGAAAAACATGGGGATTCTCAATAATCAGACTTTTCCCCCTTTTAAATGCTTTTTGAAGACTGCAATAACTTATTTACCAACACTAGTCAATTTTATTTTTGATTGAGAAGTTCTCACGAATAATTTGGATTGTGCGCAGCATCACTAAAATAATTTTTTCTAATTTCAGAACAACGAGTTGGTGTATCTGGAACGAAATGCTGCTTTGTTCAACTCATTGAGGTCGACTGTTCTATCTCACTCGAAGAAAGACGTAAGATTTTTATGTGTTAATTTGTTTCTCATGATGCTCTGCATGTGAAGAATATTGATAATGTTTTGTAAAAATTCCGGACTTTTTGCAGGACATAGTTAGCATTCAGGTTAGAAGAGGAGGAATCAACACTAATCAAAGCCATAGCCAGTGGCTTTCAACCATTTCAGATGCCCCCGATGTGATATCCATGTCTTTTATTCCAATTGTGTCTCTGTTAAATGGTGTTCGTGGCAGTGGATTCTTAACACATGCTATAAACTTGTATCTTCGTCGTAAGTTTGTTTTTCGGGTTATTTTTTTAGTCGAAATTTAAATTATGCTAGTAAAATATCACCTTTTGATAGGAGGTTATAGATATATTTTTGTTAAGAGAAAGTGTCAAAATGGTGCCAATTTTTTGTCGGGAGTCATTTGAGTCTCAGAGTCTATAAAAGTGTCAAATTAGCCAACTCTTTAAATTGGGACAACTAATTAATTCCCCGTCCCAATAAAAATTCAGAGGATTATTTTGGCACTTTTCTCTAAGAACTACGACCATTAATTCCCCGTCCCAATAAAAATTCAGGGGATTATTTTGGCACTTTTCTCTAAGAACTACGACCTTTTTAACTTTTAAAAATTGAAACACCTTCTCATGCACAGGTAAATTGGTATGTATGTAAAAATTGAAGTTTAGGTGATGCCGTAGATTTGAATGCTATGTATGTAAATATTCCTTTATTTTGCTGATCAATTTTTATTATGAAGTGATGAAATTATGTCCTCAATCTTGTTGTTCAGATAAGCCACCTATTGAGGAACTCGCTCAGTTTTTGGAGTTCCAATTGCCACGTCAATGGGCTCCAGCTTTTGGCGAGCTTCCTCTTGGTCCTCAGCATAGGAAGCGTACTCTACCATCCCTTCAGTTTACTTTCTTGGGTCCCAAACTTCATGTTAATAATATCCAGGTATTTCTAAGTTTCTTAAATCTCCTAAATCTTCTGAAAATTTCAGCAATTTTGGGAACAAAACTTCAGTTCAAATTTGGAAGATTTACATGCATACGACTCAATTCCTATGTACTTGCATTTCTAATATATAAGGTTTAAATTTTACATATGTACCACTTTATCTACTTGCATTTCTAATATGTAAGGTTTAAATTTTACATATGTACCACTTTATCTATGCATGAAAAGGTGTGTTTTGCTTTTTAAAAGTTAAGATGATGGTAGTTTTGCTGTGATATGAAAGATTTAGGTGGTATTAATGTAAAACGTAAAATGTAAAATTTAGGTGTTAAATATGTAAATGCATAGGAATTGTGTGGTATGTATGTAAATGTGGTATGTATGATGTAAATGTCCCTTCAAATTTTAGTATACTATGCTACGAGTAATTTATATTGATAGTTGAAAAAAATAAGTTTGATCCAGTATTAGTGGAATGATTTTTGTGTCACTTTGTTTAATGTCTTCATTTTCTTTGGCTTTCTTTTGAGGGATATTACCGTGCATACAACTCATATCTTCCTATATTTAGATTTGCATGAATATTTTATTTTTTTTTGTATTTTTATATGATGCCCATGTTTTACCAAACAACAATGGGAAAACAATATTATTGTTGAATTCAAATATGAAATTACAACAAATATGACACACAACAGGCGACTAGGATGAATCCAAGGTAGTGGTGGTGACTGTTAGGGGCTTGGAAGTGTGGCGACAATAAAGTGCTGTAGAGCAGGTGGTAGGTACAGTAGGGAAATAGACTTTCTGTTCTGGGCGGCAACAATTAGGGAAGTGGGCTGGACAGCTCAGAAAACAGCAGGTACTTATTGTTCGAGGCGGCAACAAATAGGGAAGTGAGCTAGACTACAGGAAAATGGCATGGGCACGACTGTTATGGGCGGTTGCATTAAAGGAGGGCAACGGGGAGCGATGTGGAAGGGTAGGGGAATTATAATCACTACCTTGGGAGCGAGATACAGTTGGAGCACCACTCGGACCCTTGGATACAGCCCTAGAAGGAAAAATATCGATGGTTATGCTGAAGAAACACACCACAAAAACTCCCAACCTAAACATGACAAAGTAAATAAATAACCCTAGGATAAGTAGAAGTGGGTCTCTCTATTGAAAGGAAGTGGCAACCCCCTCTAAGAGATTCGGCTTGTCCCTCATAAGACCTGAAACAATTTGATCCAAGCGTCAGACGTGACTCCCACATTTGTCACCGGGAACACCTATGTCAATCTTCTGGGATTGGGGAAATTCCAATCTCATTCGTTGAAGCTACTCTCCTGTCTTAAGATGTCAAGTCGAATACTTTGAAGGTGGAGCTACTATAATTTCTTGGGATTATTGGGCTTTCGACTATCTTTCTAGAAGCATTCGGATCCCATTGTGGGATACACTATCCCACAACACACTCGAGAAGGGTTCTAGAACTGTGAGTAACCATCTTTATTTGCCAACCCTCAGTGGGTACCCGAAACTTTATGCCAACTCTAATCTATAGAGGACTCCAAAGGTAGCCCACAAAAGGCTAATCTCTCCCTGAAGTGAAGACAAAATGAAACTCCCCTAACAGTGGCAGTCATGGCGGTAATCTATCGGTTTTGATATCCTGAAACTCTTTATAGTGGCTGATCTTTGTCTGTTATCGACTCTTTTGTCTCGCTACCCTTTATCATCATCAAAACTGATCCCACTGACATCTCTTCATTGCAAGAGTGCCTACAATCTCAGACTCCGCAGAAGTAAGACTTTGCACTTTCCATACTTTGTGTAGTAGGTTTTCTTGAACACTTCATGCTGAGTTCTATGATCAAACGACCATGGAATTCCTAACAGAATGTGGCAGACATCCTTGGGCGCAACCTCACACCACACTTCATTCTGCAGTTGGTTCTCAATAAAAAATTTCACTAGACATCTTCTATTAATGTTGACCCTGTTCTCCTTATTTTACCAAGTCTACTACCTTCATCGATGATAAGACTGCATCTTTCTCATTATAGTGCAATGAGTGTGAAAGATGTGGCGAAGCCATTATTACTATTCTCTCGTAGCCTCAGTCTGAAGGACCCGTCGAACCACAAGAATCTCGCCCTCATCCGCTAGAAGTTGGGACTTCTCTACCTGCTCTTCAGATACCTCCTCCGCGCTTGCCTCCTCCACTGCTTCTCCTCACTGAAGGAAATAAGATATACTTGTAGTGCAACTGGAGTTAATGTGCCCATGTGCATGAATCCTGAAGCATTTACTAGCTGGAGCTATGTTGGGTGTGCTACTGTTCTCAGGCTTCCCTCTCTGATCAGCTCTGTCATTCTTTTGATTCATCTTCTCAACTCCCCCCTCATTTGTGGGTGGTTGTCTAAATGGAGTTGGATGCTTGCTCTGCTTATGATGTCTCTTCACCTTTAGTGCTAAGTTCTAAACATCACCTAATTATGAATAAGGTTGTAGCTGGACAACGTTGTCGTTGGAGGGCTTTAAGCCTCTCAGGTATCCAACTATAGTTTGCTCTATCAACTCACATTTCAGCTTAAGCTGCCCAATTTTTTTCGTGAACTCATCCACTGATAACTCCTCTTGATATAAGTGATGTGGCCTGAAGAACATGTCCTAGCAGTAGTTTGTGGGTAGATACTTCCTCTGCATATTTATCTTTTCTCAAGTAGTGATGTTGTTGCAACCTCTATCTCTCTTGAGAATCTCCTACTACAAAGAGATACTCTTCTTTATCTTTATGGCAACAAGCTGCACTCTCTACCAGTTTGCACGTCCTTGTGTTCAAAGATCCTATTGACGGTCTACAACCACTCAATGAAGTCATTTGGATTTATTCTCCTCTCGAAATTCAGTAGATCTACCTTCACTCCTAGGTCTCTTTGCCCTCCAACTGTCACTTCATCCCTCGGCCTCCTCTGATACTGAATCCCAAAGTGTTGTTGCCTATCTTTCTCTTCAATAGAATCATCCCTGAGGAAGGGATTCAAATTTTTCTCCCTCTCGAATGTCGTTATCACGATCAAAGGTGACTTCTCCCTAGGTCTTTTCTTCAATTTCAACAAGCCTTTGTTGAATCAGCAGAGTTCCAACTTGCACCCTTTTCTTGGTAATATTTTGAACGGTGTCTGACACTTGTCTCCTTGGTAGCATAGTTAGAGTTTATGTTTAGAGGGGGTGAGATAGGTGTAAAGGGGTGGTTTAGAGTGAGAAAAAAATTTTTTAGGGCTAATTTTGGTAATCTTGGGATTAGACTAGCGTTAGGCTAGCTCTAATGTCAAATGATACCGGTGTTTAACCACAGATGATGAGAAAACAATATTATTGCTGAATGCATATATGAAATTATAACCAAATAAATGGAAAAAGGATATTACAAAAAACACAACACACAACATGCAACGCGCAACTAGAATGAATACAAGGTGGCGGCGATGGCTATAAGGGGCTTGAAAGGGCGGCGCAAGATAGGGAAGTGGAGAAGGTGGTGGGTTCAACAGAGAAACATCAACAACTTGAGTAGCAAGTAGGGAGGTGGGCTGGACAACAATTGGACAACAGGAATACAGTAGATACTATCTATCCGAGGCGACAGAAGGTATGGAAGTGGGTTGGATTGCAGGAAAACAACAGGTGCGCTGCTGCAGCAAGGGAGGGCAACAAGGAGCAATGTGGGAAGGATGAGGAAGGGAAGTGTAGGGGAAAGTGAATCACCAACTCGGGAGTGAGGTACGGTTGAAGCACTTCTCGGACTCTTGGAACAACCCTAGAAGAGAAAATGGAGACGTCAACGGCTGTCTCGAACAAACACGATAAAATCTCCCAACCTAAACACCAACAAGCAAATAAATAACCTTATGATAACTAGGAGTGGGTTCTTCTATTGAAAGGAGGTGGCAGCCCCCTCTGAAAGTCTCGACCAGACCCTTAAAAAACCTGGAACCGTTCGGTTCCGGCTTTAAACGCGACTCCCGTGCCCATCACACACCACGTCTGCTTCCTACCCCCTACTCCCTCGTCAATGTATCTAACACTTAAACTCTTATATTTACTTATCACCCAAAATTTTAACATAACGTAGAAAATATTACGAGAACAACAATAAGAAACCTTTATCCCACACTTTATAGCTCTCAAGCCCCGAATACGAAATATGAAGGGTTATGTTAGGTAGGCGACATTCAATAAAAAATTTTTGTCGAAAAATCATGGCATAGAAAATTTACTAATCATACATTATTATTATTATTTTTAAAGTAAAACAGATCTTTTCTTGCACATATCTTGATTCGATTATGAGATTAAATCGACACATGCGCGCACGGACACACACACAGTCAGGGTACGGGTAAGTGAAGAAGAGACGCACACACAGTCAGGGCAGGGGTAAGTGAAGAAGACGCGCGCACACACATACACAAAACATATCCTCTGTCAGAGTAGGCGTAAGTGAAGAAGATGGCACATTATCAACACCAGCACATCTCAGTTGCAATACATTAAACACCGGGTGAAGTGTCGATGAAGGTGGCAATTTTAAACGATAAGCCATCTTACCAATGCACTCCATGATCTCATAAGGGCTGAAATAACATGGGAAGAGAACATCTCTTTTATGTTCGTTAGCTTGTTTCTTCATAAGTTGTTGCGCTTTTAATAAGCATCTTTTCAATTCCACTAGCATCTAGTTCCTCTCTTCTAAGTAGTGGTCCATAAGAGACACTAGTGTAGTACTGCGTCTATAATACGCCAATTGAGTTGGATTGCAACCATACAAGATTTTAGGAGTGGTCTGAGAAGCTTTATGATACGATGTGTTGTAATAATACTTTGCCTTGGATAGTCATTTAGCGCATTGCTTGGGTGCGTCAAATACAAAGCAACACAAATTCATTTTCACGCTTTGATTAACAACTAACTATCCATCAGCTTGCAGGTGATATGCAATGCTTTTCTTCATTATGGTTCCTTGCATTCTAAACGACTCCCTCCAAAAGTGACTTAAGAAGACCTTGTCTCAATTTGACACTATTGGTTATGGGATCCCATGCAAACGGACAAACTCTCGGATGAAAACGACTGTGATAGAAACATTAGTGTAGAGATGATGTTGAGGTATAAAGTGTGCATTCTTGTTCAACCTGTCCACCACCACTAAGATGACTGTAAATCCTATTTATCGAGATATGCCTTCAATGAAATACATCGTCACTTCCCCCCATACTTTCTCCGGTAATGCTAGAGGTTGTAGCAACCTTCCAGGCGCTAGCGTCATGTACTTGTGTCATTAGCATACATCACACATTGAGATCATTCTGCACATCCTTTCTCATTCCTACCCAATACACTTATACTATTATTCTCTAGTATGTTTTGAACATGATGAATGTTCATCGATAGCGCTACCTTGAAACTTCTGTAGTAACTTCGGAATATGCCTTGAAGTATAAAGTGTGCATTCTTGTTCAACATGTCCACCACCCCTAAGATGACTGTAGATCCTATTGATCGAGATATGCCTTCAATGAAATACATCAGCACTTTCTCCCATACTTTCTCCGGTAATGCTAGAGGTTTTAACAACCTTCTAGGCACTAGCGTCATGTACTTGTGTTGTTAGCACACATCACACATTGAGATCATCCTGCACATCCTTTCTCATTCCCATCCAATACAATTATACTGTTTTTCTCTGGTATGTTTTGAACATGATGAATGCTCATCGATAGCGCTACCTTGAAACTTCTGTAGTAACTTCGGAATATGCCTTGAATTTTGGGGTAGTACATAGCGCCCCCAGTATAGCAAACATTGGCCATTCTCGCCATTCAATAAGGCTGATCGGATTTTGCCCAATTTCTCATTTGTTTCACTCTCTTGTCCCAGGACATCTCAATCTAAAGATCAAAGGGACTGACAATGCCAACATTTGAGGTTTCTCCATCCGATGTGATAGGGTATCAACGACCTAATTCTCTAATCCTGGTTGATATTGAATCTCAAAGTCATACTCAAATAACTTAGATGACCATCTCTGATGCTCCTCAGTCACCATCTATTGTTCTGACTGAAATTTGAGATTGCCCCAATAAATATGATCACCATTTTTGAATCGCCAACACAGATGTCATAAGCTTCCGCTCATAAATTGACTTGAGTCGGGAGCTTGCAGTCAACACTTTTTGATTGAAATAAGCGATGGGTTGATGACATTACATGAGAATTTTGCTTAAGCCATAGCCTGAAGAATTCGTCTCTACAATGAAAGGTTGGCTGAAGTCTAGTAATGCCAACACAAGTAAGCTCGTTGTAGCCTTCATTTACTCCTCAAACGCCTGGGTCGCCTCTTCTCCCCCATTGAAAATTTTTCTTCTTTGATTGCTCCGTCAATAGCTATGCAATCTAGCCGCAACTCTTCATGAACTTTCCATAATGTCCTGCAAGTCCCATAATTCTCTCAACTCCTTCAAGGTCATAGGTAGTGGTTAATCCAACATAGTCGCACTTTCAATTGGTTTGCCAACACCCTTCAATCGTACCACATGTCCTATGTACTCCACATTCAACTATACAAACAAACATTTCTTCAAGTGATCAAGGTGTTCTTCTAAGAAACAGTTGTACACTAGGATATTGTTAAAGAATACCAAACAAACCTGTGGAGGGACGGTTGAAACATGTTTGTTTATCAGTGATTGAAATGTAGTTGGGGTGTTGGTGAGCCCGAATTACATAACAAAAAATTCGTAGTAAACTCCATTGGTTCAAAAATTAGTCTTGTGCACATATGCTGACCACATTCAGATTTGATGATATCTTGACTTCAACTAAATCTTGGAAAATATTAAAGCCCCAAACTTGTCCAGAAGCTCATCAATCACTAGAAAGGAAAATTTGTCAGATAATGTTTTCCTTATTCATTACCCGAAAATTCACACAGAAATGTCAATTCCCATCCTTCTTCACTAGCAAGATCGGGCTAGAGAAGGGGCTGGCACTAGGCAACAGGATTCCTACCACCTAATATTTCTCGGATTAATCTCTCGATCTCATTCTTCTACACCTGGGGCAAACAATATAGGCACACTGATGAGAGGAACCCCTGAACTCAGGATTATCACATGCTCATGTTCTCTCCGACGAGTTAATCCGAGTGGTAACTGGAATACTATTGAAAACTATTGTAAAAGTTGTTGAACATGTGTCGAAATCTCTACCAACTTTGTATATTGTACCTCTTCCATGCTATGCAATTCAATAAAAATTCTTAACCCTGCGTTCTGAATTGCTCTAACCATGGTCTTAAGTGTCACTAATGTCTTGCATAGACTCGAGTCACTGCAATGCACTAACCTCTTGTCTCCCTTCTGAAATTTCGTTCTGAATTGCTCTAACCATGGTCTTCAGTGTCACTAATGTCTTGCATCACTACAATGCACTAACCTCTTGTCTCCCTTCTGAAATTTCATTATCATGAGTTTCTAATTCATCTTCATCTTCCATAAGAATTACAATCATTTCATGCTCAATATTACATCAGTGTTCCCTAAATTCAATGGAAGGAAATCCTCTCAACTTTTGGATATTTTGCAATGTCAAAATCATCTCGTTACAAATTTCTCAGCTCTTTTGTACTTGTCTCGTCCCCATTAGATGTTCACAAAGTTTCATAGTGTGGTTTAGTGTGAACTCCATCGCCGAGTTCAAAGAGACTTCTGCCACATCCACGTGAGGGTGTTCCTCGTCCTCCACTACATCCTCTATTTTTTCCTCCACTGCCTCCTCCTCATCACACACTAAGAGAACCTATAATGCCTGATCCTTGCAATGTTTCTTGGAGCAAGCTTCTCATCATATCAGAAAATAACCCCTCAGCTTGCTTTTCTTGAATCTCTTTCACTGGAAGGCCTCTGAATGTCACCCCGGTTATGGCCCATTATTCATGTTCCGTGAAGCCTCATTCTTGAATCCCACTATTTGCACTTTGTATCATCATGACCATAGCATTTCGGTATGACACTTCAATTGTGTTGCTCCTAGTTACCCATTCCATTGTATTTTTTCTTCGACCAACTTTGCTAATTACATAGTTTATCTCAATCCATTGATCTTAGCAGACGAAGTGCTATTCGAATATCTGGTTTCAACGCTCTCATGATATTTTCTTCCAACACTTCTTCCGATATCCCTCTCAAATGACCGGATAATAACTTAAATTTCTCTCCATATTCCATGACAAACCCTTTTTGGAGGAGTGCAAAAAACTACTCGTATAAATCCCCTTCTCGCATGGTTTTGAAACGCTCCAACAATCGGTCCTTGAATTCCTCCCATATTCTAGTTGTCTGGCTTTGTTCCCTTCATTAATACCGAGCTAGAGCTGTCCCTTCCAAACATAGGCTACCACTATTAATTTTTCTTCTTCTATCAGTTCGTTAACAACGAAGTATCTTTCCACGTGATAAACCCACCCATAGGTATCCACTCCTTCAATGATCAGTATTTTCAACTTCCAGATGCACAAGTCTTATCCCTAGTATTTATGTCCAAAGCTCATTCTACCCATGAAGCGGGGGTTGGGCTCCCTCTCGCGACGCCTATTGATTTCCCTTCTTCTATAAGTTTTACTCGCCTTATAATAATTTTAC